GATGTCTGAACGAGATGCACATTCCCACGATGTGGAAGCATAAAATCGTCACGCCTATCTACAAAAGTGGTAGCCGTGCTGAACCAGCAAACTATCGCCCGATAACACTACTGCCTGTGATCTCCAAGGTTATGGAGTCCATTATAGCTGAAGCTTTGATGGTGTACCTGGAGAACAGCAAAATTCTCGTTCCGCATCAACATGCATTTCGCCGAAATCACTCCTGTAGAACTAATCTCTTGATTGCTGCTGCAAGCTGGACGGAATCTGTGGACGCTGGTGTAGGAGTTGACGCGGCCTACTTGGATTTCTCAAAGGCATTCGACCGCATAGACCACCGCATTCTTCTCCACAAACTCCAGAAATATGGAATCGGTGATCCTGTTCTGGGCTGGATAGGAGACTTTCTCGTTCAACGTCACCTGAATGTGAGGGTTCGAAGCAACCTATCAGAATCCATCGAACTTCAATGCGGCGTACCTCAGGGCTCGGTACTTGGACCCCGCCTGTTCCTAGTCTTCATAAATGATCTCGCAAGTGTGCTATCTTCTAACTGTTTGCTATTTGCTGATGACCTAAAGGTATGGCGCACTATAGCTGCAGTGGAGGATCGCACATTCTTACAGGAGGACCTGGTCAAAGCGTACACATGGTCCATTGTGAACATGCTGCATTTCAACGTCACCAAGTGCAAAGTGCTCAGTATACGGCACAAGAGTATGCACAACTACCGCCTAGGACCACAAATTCTACAGCGGGCCTCTCACGAGTGCGATCTCGGTGTGATAGTTCAAGATGACCTCGGTTGTTCTAGGCAGACTGAAACGCCATCTAAGAAAGCGAACCAGTACTTCGGCCTTCTTCTAGAACCTTCGGGAAATTTTGACACTTCAGTCTTCCCAAAAATGCTTTGTGCGTACGTGAGGCCGCACGCGGAGAACGCTATTCAAGCGTGGCAATCCTGGCTCAAGCACCATCTCACCGCGCTCGATACTGCACAACGTAGGGCAACGAAAAGCGTCAGAGGTTTGGCCAGCCTCCCCTACCCACTCAGGCTGAAGACCCTCAAAATATACAGTGCACGTTATCGGCGTCTAAGGGGCGATCTCATTATGGTGTACCTTATCCTGAGAAACACCAACCACCCATGCCATTCCCTTCTAATACTCAGTCAAAATACCTCGCTAAGAGGTCACCGGTTTAGGTTAGTCACGCAGTACAGCCGCCGGGAATGTCGGCGAAACTATTTCTCCCATCGAGTGGCACAGCCTTGGAACACTCTCCCGGAACATGTAATTAATGAACCCACCCTATCCTTTTTCAAAAAACGCCTTGACGATACCCTGTCACATTTACACTACGTGCTATAGCTCATGACCACCAGATGCTGGCACTAATGCACAGCAGACAGGGGATAGTGCCATAACCCCACTCGAGAATAAGTCACCCCAAACTCCTTGCACGAAAGTTGATAAACGCTACTAGTACAGAAACTGGATTACTGTATCCTGTCGACCCAAGATTGTTGCACAAGAGTAAGCGTTGTCCTTGCTACCTTTTTTATTTTTCTCGACTATGATGTGAACAATAACCACTCCCCTGTTGCTTTGTTTGAGTACATTCTCATTTCAAACTCCCTTTATACTACAGTGCAGTTACATCTGTAAGCACCCGAATGGTAGACTCCATTATCCCTTCGCTATCTTTTTTATCACGCTATACACCCTACGGGATATGTCAAACACCTGCTTTTTTACCCCTTATAAATCATTGTTCATTGTTCAACGTCTGACTACCAAGCACGACACTGCAATACACATGTGCTAAGCGAGTAAGGGTTGAAAGTCTTGCTGGTTTCAGTAGCCATGGTTAAAGTATGATTAGACGATTCACTCTCGGAATTGCATTCCGTTCCGTCTCTACGAAAAAGTGTGCTTTACTAGACAGGAGCTATTTATTATGTAAAACAATAAGCGGAAGATAACTTTCACCCGACCTACAAGCAAAAGTTGCCGGTTACTGGTCAGAAAATGAAGAGTTCTTTATCAATTCCTAATTTCGTGATAGTTCCTTGCCAGTTCATTCCACGGAACACGTGAAACACACGATCCGTAATTCATACAATTCTGCTCTCAGTAGTTCGGCATATCATCATCACAGCATGCAGCTTAAAAACTGGTGAAATTGTACGTAGCACAAGGAAGTCGCATCGTTTAAAACCTTTAACATTTTGCCTTCGGTTCGATACTTAAACGGTTTCTCTCCTTTTTCAAAATTTACTTGTAGTCATCTGATGTAATCTGATTGATTTAGATGGATTACCGAAACCGCAAAGCCAGATGCTATCGTTCTTGTATTGAAACCGTTGGACACATGCGCATTTTCAGACTGCTATACCAAATGGGTAAAGAGAGAATTTCCATCCATATTCGGGAAGTACTTGCTATGTTTCTGTAAACAGTTAATTATTCTATCGTACTTAGAAACATAGTTACTCGTGACACTGCTAGAAAAGGTCACACGACCGACATTTTTCAAGGCGTCTGATATTTAGCGGTTTTATCAACTGAATAAAAAGCTTGTGTAGCATCCGCCGTTGTCGATATGCTGACGGATATAAAACAACCCAGAAAAACTTGCCTTAGCAGTTGTAGTTCCACAGGTGGCTTTTGGCAGGCGAGCGGGAGCTACTGACAGAGGGTTCCATTTGCCGGCTTCACGAAATCAGAAACAGTTGCCACCATAATCAGCATAGATTGGGCATGAGATCAGCACCGACGCAACCAGTGGGGTTTACATAAGCAAGCATTAGCTCAAAAGTTTGATTAATGAAAAATGAAAAACGTCCGATTAGCCAAGAAACAAAGTAGTTTGGCGCTGAATAAAATTCAATTAGCCCATGATCTCCAGTTATCATTTTAAAAATCTTGCACTAGTCTAATGACGTTGGCGACACTGTGCAAATTCCCTAAGTGCAAAAAGATCCGCCTGAAATGGAACATGAGCGCACAAAGATAAGGACAGCAATCTATCAGTAGCTATGCACCTAACGTACGTGAAACTTGGGCCTCGGGCGTAGATCAATCTTGTAAACCTGAAAGTTGGCCGTTGTTTGTGTCATAAAATTCTCAGGTCACAGCAATTTTGTATCCAACTGTAGCACGACATACTTTTACTACACTCACGAAAGGACGATTCCTGTTAGGACTTAAGTCGTGTATTTTCCAAGAATCTGCCGGTGAAACATTCCATCGCCAAGTAAATATTTCAGCTAAGTTATTGAACCGACATCGACAGAATGGATTACAACAGAACCGGCTGGTCAGACAGAGATCTGCGCACTAATGATATCAATAAGATTAGGATAATTAATGATAAAAATAAATAATGATGAGGTTTACGGAAAATCGAGAGAAAACTAACAAAATACTTTGTCATGGAATGACCATGATTGTGGCTCATATTCGGGGACACGATACGAAACTGGGAATGATACTAAACCACCATGGCATTGATTAGTAGCCTCAAAGGCTTACGTAAGCTGTTTACATAAATAATGATCCAATAACTTTTACTGAGCACCGATGGTCCAAATCCCTGTACCGTTATGTGTGCACGAACTCATGTTTAGCAACAAGTAGAGCTTATGAAAACCATCGAACACGCTTCTACACGTTTCGGTGTTTGAACGAGCAGCCAAGTTGGTAGATGAGGTCGCTGGTTTGGTGTACAGTCAAAGATTATTTCAAGTCATGCGCGTGCAACGATAATTTCAAATGTCGTCAAATCTTTCGTTAGTTAAGCTGAGAGCAGAGCGTGGTTAGGCTTCCATTGCCCAGCACAATAACTAAATGGCTATGCAGATTTCAGTTGACCAATTGTGAAGCACAGGAGGCGATCGAAATAGATATTACAAGTTTATCAACCAAGCAGTGAAATTGCGAGCGTTTTGACCGGGATCCAGTTACGGGAAGAGATTTTGCATACCAGCAAAGCGCGGCTGACTGTGCAGAGAATCGGCGGGATGGAATGTGTACCCCAAAGCGACTGGGTGACTCAAACCAAGTTAGTAGGTGTTTGTACAAAAAGTTTTGCTCTGAGTGAAACAAATATAAGATCGTTTTGTCCCGAAAGGTTTAGCCATGTTTTCGTAGGGGAAAATCTGTGGATCCTTACTGAGCAGCTTTGTAAGTACAGAGCCAAAAGGCACTGCTGTTGGTCGTTGTACCATCTCCAAGATCGCGAAAAATGCCGATCTTTGAATTTACTTTCATTCGTTACTGTTTTCAGTGTCGTTCTAAGGTAAGCTTTTATTACACGGTGCATGACAGAAAAACTTGATCACGAGGTGCGTGTTGTACTGCGATCGAGTTCCAAGGAAGTATTCAAAACAGGCCTTTTGATAAACAAAGGTTTCAAAACATCAGTAAGCAATTATTAGTACTAGTTACTGGTCTATTTAACGCAACCAATGAACAACCTCGCCACGTCACTAGCACTCAGCTTCGGTGGCGAGTAAAACGTTTATTAATTGTCTGGATTTTGAAACAAATAGATTTAAAAGCTTGCGTCCAGAGGCACATAAACAAAGTTGCGTGTATATTATTTTCCAATGGGACATGCGGATTGTTCTGTGGTTTGCTTGGAACATAGCTCCGATCCCATAAACCACCAGAAACGTATATTCGGTGGTGTATATCGTGTATTGCTGACCATCTACAATGCATCACACATTCGGTTTCGCATCGGTTTGAGCCCTTCGAATAGAACCACGAATGCTTGTATTTAAGCGAAGTAATATTTGTTTTGGCATATCATGAGCATAAAACGTAATATTGCCTGTTACAATGGTCGATGCAATTTGAATTATCTTATGAATACACAGACCTCGACACTAACTCTGATATCACTGACCTCATCAAAGGAACCTGTAAGGACGCTTGGCAAGAAATCCTGACGGAGTTGCGCGAAATCGCCAAAGATTATAATTGACAGAAATGCGTTCAAATGGGTTGGTATTATGACTCGTTCAAAAGTTCCGCAGTTACTTTGTTTGGTTTGACATATGATGGTAAAAAAGACGAAAGGATTGATGAATATCAGTTCGACTTATCTGTTCGTGTTGTTATAGGACAATGAAAGGAGGCTTTCCATAACGAAAGAGGAATTTGCATGCTGAGTGACAGAGAAAGCCTTAGAATGAGAACAAACGTTCCTCTGAAGAACTATAGTAAGCAATCATGTCGTGATCCAAAACTAATTGAGTAGTTCGATGAAATTCCGCGCATTGTGATGTGCACAGTTCACGCTAATGGCAGTATGGCTGTTGTGGGCGAAATCTACTTCATTGACGGCCCGGCCAAGACTTTCTTGATGAGCTCTAAAACGAAACGTGAACAACTGCTCTCGCTTTCTCAAAACCTACCTTCGTATTTAATATTTCCATCTAGATCTTCATGGAGATCAATGCACTTTACAATCTGATCAACTTCACTGTCTTCAAGTCTCTCACCTAAAATCAATACATTCATTGAATAAAGTCTTGTACTTACCATATCCAGTGAGCACGTGGCGCATTTCAGCGGCAGATATTATGCCCTGACCCTCACGATCGAAAGTCTTGAATGCTTCCATGTAGTCAGCGAAAGTCCCGGTTTGCTTTTCTTTCAAAATGCTTTCATAGCAAGGCAGAAACTCATCAAATTTGTATTGCTTCTCTCCTAAGAGGTATTCCAAGTGTGCGTGATGTTAGACATTATAACTACAAGTCACTAGGTAAAAGTGGGGTGATCTTCAAACTAGGTGAAGCAAACTTGGAAAGTATGAAATTAAATGAACAAAATACTTAATGGGATAAGACCGCCCTTCGCATTAATTAAAGATGCGGTGGGAAATTCATCTAAGCAAGCTAATATTCACGTGTTGGCATCACTAACAACTTAACTTTGAAACTTCGCGCTATATTAATCAGCATGTCATGTGGATTTCTCGAATTTTGCTAACCGTACATTCGGAGTATAGTAAATAAATTGGCTCGAACTGACTATCATACGAGATCAGTCAACGGATGGGAAAGTGGACGCACCCGGCAGGTGATGTTCGTCTGTACATAACACCGATTAAAACCGAAGAGGGTTAAAATTTGCCTTTTGTATCGCTACGGGCGGTCTTTGGAACAAGTAAATCGCGCTATTTGTTCACATAGCCGTCCTAAAAGTCATTTATAATGGTTACTTGGACGAAGTTCAGTGTCGATAAGGCTTTCACCAAATGGGAATACTGGCACCTAGACAAACTGTCCGCTATCTGACAACAGGATATATATATATATATATATTATACACAATCTGTGGTACAGATATTGTGCCATCGGAATCATGGCTGAATAGGAAAACAATATGAATAATAAGAAAAGAGCAACAAGAAATGTTTTTTTGTCAAGTTTACCACCCACAGTTTTTGAAATTTTTTTCCAGTTTGTTCTTTATTTTAGGGGGAGGAGGAAGGGACACCGCAACACACTGATGCACACGTCCGCCATTGACATCGATCTTGAGCCATAACTTCCAAGGTTTTCAACCAGCAAGTATCCTCATCTCTCGGACCCCAACCAGGTAGTCGACAACAACCGGCCGAGGCCAATTGTTTCGTCAACTTTTTCATGCGGCTTCTCCATGTTGTAGGCTGTCCACCAGACCTTCTCTTCCAGCCGTGTCCAGCAAGTGCAAACAACGCATGACGGGGGTAACGCTGGACAGGCATGCGCAATACGTGTCCCAACCACCGCAGTTGATGCAGTGAGATGAGCTCCTCGAGCGAGTGGCTTCCACGTCCCATGACACGCTGTCTAACTTCCACATTGCTTACGTGGTGCTGCCACCACACACGGGCAATGGACCGCAGACAGCGGTGCTCGAAGACGGATAGCCTGCGCAAGTCATCTTTACGAATGGGCCAGGTCTCGCATCCGTACAATAGTACAGCACGAACAGTTGCACAATAGACCCGCCCTTTGATGGAGAGACGAATGTCGTGGCGACGCCACAAATGCCTCAGCCTAGAAAAAGCAAGGCGTGCTTTCGAGATGCGCATCGAAATCTCGTCTCCAACAGCCCCGCCAGCAGTGATGCAACTTCCCAAGTAGACAAAGCTCTCCACAACCTCCAGTGTCTCACCAGCAAGCATGAGTGCAGGCAGAGGCACCTGCCAGTCTTGAAGGAGAGTCTTGCATTTGGATGGCGAAAAGCACATACCGTACTTTGATGCTTCAATCGTCAAGCGGTTTAATGCAAGTTGGACGACCTGTGGATCGTCACCCAGCAAGACGATATCATCAGCATAATCCAAATCAACAACTCGACTACCTGGGAGGAGCTCAACGCCAGCGTTCAACGAATCGCTCAGAGCGTTCTTCAGGACATCCTCAATGGCAAAGTTGAATAGGAACGGAGAGATAGGGCATGCTTGTCGAACTCCACTGGAGACCACAAAGGTAGGCGAAAGCATGCCATAAGCTCTAACCCTGCCCGAGGTCAGACTGTATAGAGCGCGCAGTATGGAGACGAAATTCTCGGGGACACCGTTCCTCAGAAGGCACTGCCACCGTACTGTACGATCGACAGAATCGAAGGCTGCACGGATATCCAGGAACACAGCAATCGTTGGCCTCTGATACACATGGCGGAGCTCGAGGATCTGGCGAAGTGTGAAGATTTGATCGATGCAGCCGCGACCAGGGCGAAACCCAGCTTGTTCTTCTCGTTGCAACGATTCGCGTGTTGGGGATAGCCTGCGAAGTATGATGGACACCAGCAGCTTGCAAACGACGGGATGAACGTGCAGGTATGGTGCCAATAGTACTACCCTTTAATTTATAGTAGTACGGTCTCATACATAGACAATCAAGGTGTAACAACATCGGAGATGCAATGGGGGCGAAGTTTCATCTGACGTTGGCTATCATTCCGCTTTGAAAAATAGAATAAGCAGCACAGAGAAACCATGACTGATGTCATCTACTATTCCACACCAGTGAGATGCTTGCATGCCTATCTAAAGAGTAATGTTAGATATCTCTAAGTTGCGTATGAGTATCGGGTGGCTAAATAAACTGATTTGCTGTTACTTCTCATCCTTCCATAGGACCACGGTCCGTTTCTAGTCAGAGTGAACGAAATTTCAACATTACCATTCATAAGCGCAATGCTACATCACACTAACCTTTTTTCAAAGTCGCTCCATGCTTCACAGTGAGTGCAATGGTTGGATTGATTCCGCTGCATCGAAGCAAATCTCCCACTTTGACCGCATCGATCAGGCTGTCGCGACCGTCCCAGAAATCGAACAGGTCGAAAACCTCCCGAATGTCTACAAAGTAGAGATAAATTTAGTTATGTGGAAGCACATGTTTGTCGTGATAGCGAAATTTTTTGTAGCAACTTACCTTCAACCTCAGATTTTGATAGCGTGCTCTGGAAGGCAAGGAAAGTTTCACATAACCAGACTATCGTCGCTTAACAATACCAGTAATGACTGTATGTGCCAGTCAATCAGCTGTGACATTCATTATCAATATTTAAACAGGTATCAATGAGCAAACACAAGAAATAGAACATAGTAGACATTCAGTGTAAAGTCCATTGCAAAAAGCTGACAGAGCACGGGAAAATGCGCAAAGCAAGTGATAATACGGCGGCATACAGTTGGGTAATTGCCACAACTCAAGCACCAGACATGCTTATTGATTTATCCGAGAACTACAATCGCGATACCAAACGAGAATCCCAGGCTTTCCCCTTTTACTACCTTATTTTTTCAACATAATGGCTTACTTGACTTACTCGTAGGAGTATGGCGAATTTTCAGTCTCCCTAGAAATCATTGCCTAAAAAGCTGTCTAAAATCAACACTAATAGTAAAATGAAATGATCGGTGATACACAATGAGGGGTACGATAAAGGTGTACGAATGAACCGGCAACACCATCGTACTAAAACAGTGTCACACTTGTAGCTACCCCACAGTTGCATTACATGTTGCAAGCTTGTTCTTTTTATAACAACGGTTGCGTTCAAAAAAGGATTTGGAGTACCCGCCGTACTTTTGGATTGTAACACGCAATCTCTATGTTTGTTCAATTTGATTTAGAGGTCAGTCATTCCGACCACAAAGACGGTAACCGAAATGGAGGTGTTTCGGCTTTAATCCACTCAACACAGACACCTCATGACTGCTTTCGTCGTGTTTTGGACTCTTCAGACGGAGATAGCCTGAGCTAGGGTGGACATCGGGGTGTAAAGTTTAAAGAGTAACGCTTTGATAACTATGCCTTTAAGATCCCTAAGCAACGCTTAGCACAGCGGAAACAATTCCAAGTTGGTTTTTGAGTACCTGCCGTGTGTTCCGCCGCTATCGTGTTGTTTACCGCAACACAGGAGCACTACCCACTGCTATTAATATTCCATCACGGATTAACCTTGCCCTTTCAACAAATCACTGTAGCTATACTCCCTGGTGGGATTTCAGGGAGAGACGTTATTGGCCTGACACAACAGCTCCGCAAAACATTGAAATATTCCGATGGGGAAATGTCTTTTCTTGACACGATGATTCTTGGTTCACAGATGCGAATGACACCAATATAACTAAGAGTTCGTATTAGTAAACATAAACTAAAGTTATAACACACTTCAGGTTAAACAGTGAAGGTGCATTCCAACTCTACCATTTCCTGGGTTCGTGTGCAATCTCCCGCTACCTCCAACATGAGATACTAATCGAGACGAAAACGTTCATGGAATACAGCTCCAGAAATAGGTAACCGAACTATGGTTTCGGAGAGTTTGCTTTGAATTGAATCGCTGTCAAATTAAAAATCGTGTGTCGCAGTTCATATTTACATCTGGTGTAACAACGATCAACTGAACTGTTGCAACAAGCATACCCCATAAGGGTACTATTGTAGAGGTGTCTACAAGTATCGTTTTACGCACAGTTCCAGGTAACTCTTCTGACAGAGTTTATGTAAGCAGAAGACCTGTCCTGATGTGTACTGTTTAGCGCAAGAAATCACGAAATCCCAAAATTCGGATGTGGACAGAGGTGGATCTACGGATCCACCACAAAGCACGCAGTGTCTCTAAACCAAATGCCATGTATCATCGGTTTCCAGATTTGAGTAAAAATCGCTTAGGGACCAAAACGCAATAGAGAAGTAATAAGATCTCACAGTATGTGACACCGTAAGCGTAAATAGCATAATACTGGTAACTTATCACCTTATGTTGCCTGACTATATGTTTTAGTGAAATGCACAATGAATGGGAGTGCATCTGACTCAGTACATTGTGTACAATACTGTGTTACTTTCAAAATCTGTACAGAATATGACTTACCATATCACAGAATTTCGACTACAAGGATGCCGCAAGTCAACTACAGGCGCTTATGTACCAGAGGAGAAAATGTGGTGTGTGGGTGCATAGCTTGGAAGCAGCCATAGAAAATCGTTACGAACTGTCCAACCCATGCTGCTTCTTGATTGGCTCATTTGTTCCTAAGTGGGACAAGATCCCCCGACCAGAACGCTAGTCCTGATGTAAACGTTGAGGGCAGGTCATCGCAGGGCCTCCTACCGACACACAACCTACGGACACACAGCTATTCCATGTTAGTGGTGGTATGTGCCAAGCACACACAAATCAAACTGTGTGTTAACAAATCCATCTCCTATTTTATGTGGGGGCATAGAAAAAGATGATGCATTCGCGATGGGGATGAATGAGAGAACATTCCGCTTACGTTTATGTGAACCAAATACTTAAGCTCATTATTTCGACGAACGCGAGGGTAGTCGGCTCTGTATGGATCATTAAGCTATCTGCTGTTGAATGACCACGAAGTTACTATGACAGGATTTAGCAAGTGGCTTTGTACTATCCTTTATTGTTACTGAACCTTGAATCATGCTAATTTAAGGTTAATTTGCAAGCAGAAATTAGACAAATCAAGCAATCTACGCAGGGCCCCGTTGCAGTAGCATCAAGAACAGCAATAATATTGTTAAGAATAAGTATATACTGAGGCAGGAAGTAATACACCGATCCAGTTTCTCTAATGGAAAGTGTATGATTACCTGTCAGCGGACACCATCTGCTTTCCCAGGAAACTTCAAGTGGGACTGGAGCCATGGGATTACCCCGTGAGTGACAGCTCTTCAGCTAGCCGTTGAACCAGGAATAGACGAAGGACTTTGAATTACAGATGGACCTAAAACAAAGACTGTATTACACCCTGTCCAACCAATTACTGTCCACGTATCCTGCACTAACAGACACTACTGGGCCGGTTCGGTGAAGTAGGGAGGAGAACACATTAAACTCAGTGGGCAGGGATAAAAAGAGGAGAGAGCTACACGTGTAGAAGGTATTTGAGTCATTAAAATCAGAACTGAAGGCTGAAGATGAATCAGTTATGAAAAAGGAAAGATTTGGTGTTGCCACCGAAGAACACCGAACTGATGCGCAAAACCCTTAACCGTAGGTTCTCTAACCACATCATCTGGAAGTGAATTCCAGCGCTCTATTACTCGGTGTCACAGACTATTGTCCGTCTTAATCCGATCAGATTGTGAGTTATACAACTTCAATGCGTGACCGCGGAGATTAGATAATTTAGCGGGACTAAATAGCCCTGACAAGTCCGGGCCGATCTTGCCCGTCAGAATACGATAAGTGAGTATCAAGTTCCCTCTTATCCTTCGGCAGTGCGTAGATACGTTTGTCCCCGTAGACCCTGCACTAACATAGCACTTACGTGCAAAACCCTTTGCAAGTCCATTTTGTCTCGGAGAAGACATGGTGGACAAGCTTGGATACAATAATCCAAATAGGGTTGCACGAATGCCGAGAATAGTTACACAAACATATTGGCTGTCAGGACTCTGAAAGAGCGGCGCATAAACTAAGTCATACCAATCCCCCGACAAGCAGCCTTCTTCCAATTGTCGCCAAAGTGAAGAACTGATGAATGGACGATACCTAAATCAATCTGCTGAGTACCAATAGGGATTTCAGCAGCACCGACAACATTTCGTGTGGGAGGAATAGCAACTCTGATTTGGAGAACGGAACACTTGGCCCGATTTATAGGCATTAAGCAAAAGGTAAATCATTCACTGAATTGCCGCAGGACCCCCAAGGATATCCACAATATTTCAGAGCTTAAGGTTGTCAGCAAACATTAGTGATGACCACTAGCTCCCCTGGCAAGTCATTTACATAGATTGCGAACAACAATGACCCGAACAACGAGCCTTGTTGGACGCCACCAATGACAGCTAGCCCAAGCAAAAGACTATAACCCACTCGCACACACTGTTCCCTCCCCTCTAGGAAAACAGACAGAAATTTAAGGGCGCGACCAGATATCCCGTAAGATCTCAACTTTAATGTGAGTTGAAGATGAGGAACAGTGTCAAAAGCTTTCGAAAAGTCAACAAATAACACGTCTACAGTGTGGCCACTGTATACGGCTTCGGCCCAGCTTTCACGAGCCACAAATAGTTTAGTCTGACACAAAAATCCCTTGCGGAATCAATGTTGCACAACAATGAGACGCTTGAAACTATTGCGGTGGTTCTCCACTGAATCCCTTATCAGCTTTTCAAACAACGACTTGACTGGACGCTTGTCAAACTGACCGGCCGGTAGTTCGCGGGTTGATTACTGTCACTGCACTTAAAAATGAGACAGAAGATTGCCTCCTTGCATTTCTGAAGTAAGACACAGCTGTCAAACGATTTTGAGAAGGCGCATGTAAGAGGACCGCTCAGTTCAGTGGCTAATCCATGCGACAGCTTCGAATGAATTAAATCAGAACCGGAAGCTTTACCTAGATGTGCGCCTTGCAATAACTCGTAGACCTGAGTCTCCGTTATGTTAAATTCAGCTAAGCAATAATCATCCGGAACTCATGGAACCAAAGCAACCTGTGGTAAAGAGTTTTCCCGAGAAAGACCCCAGCAAACTGTTCACTAAGCATATGTGTCTTTCCATAGTCGGTTTACGCACGGGTCGCGGCTGTTCGCAATAACTCTGGTATAGACAGTTTTGCTCCGCGGCGTCTTTTAACGTAAACAAAGAACATCTTGAGATTAGCTGCCGCAGAGTCCGACAAACCTTACTTGTATTAGAAATGAGCAATACTGGGATGTTACATAATTTTATTGCTAATGATAACTATCGTACGTACTGGCCGATGTCGCTGCTTGGGAGGTTCGGCAGCATCTAGACGGTTTCCTGATTAGGTATTTGCCTGTGGAATCTATCAATGGAGGCTGTGCCCGTAACCCTTTTTTCCTCATGGGTGCAATATAAAGAGTAGAAACCTCCGTAAGATAGCCTTAAATTGACCCCAGGTTTATTTGAGAGAATCGGCCATCGAGATCTTACAGTTCAGAACTGAAGCCTTAGCTCGAATTGCACTAGTCCGCCCGCTAAATATTCGGAAGTAATTCAACAGCGGTCTATTGGTACCTTGAAAGAACACACCGAAAGGATTTGCATGCGGATCCGCTGGACCCTAGAGGTGTACCATACGAAAAGTCAGTTAGGAATGCGAGAGACTAAGCAAAAACCAGATCAAAAGAATATGTTATTTGATTATCTATATACAAGGTGTGGAAGTCATTGAACTGGTGCAAAGGCACTTGGAGATTCAGCTCAAGAAAGTCTGCACCGGATGTTCCCGATGTCGAATTGCAAGCAAGATGGCAGGTTGAAATTCCCTAGGACAGGGATGTTCAAAGTCCGGCCCGCTGGCTAAATGTGGTCCTTGTTTACGTTTCAACTGGCCCGCGGTCTCATCATGAAACAAAAATTCAGGCTTGGACTATTGCGTAGACGTGTAACTTTTGTTATTGGCTAAATGTCAAACTGAATATGGCACAACATATGTCTACCTCACCAAATGATCGCCTTCCCTGTAAAACTTTGAGACACTCCTGACCTAGAACTAAACGCTTATTCGCAGACTGAGTGCGAATAAAGTCAATGGTCCCCCTGGAGGAACTTCCAGGACTCCTGTATACCACTACAGCTGTAAAGTGGGTAGGGGAAATGCACATAACAGCTGGTAGGGCTTCATCAGTCTGATCCCACGACTGAAATGTGCAGATTCACAAAACAGCTATTTTACAGCCCACATAAGGTACAACGCTTCCGCCTTGACGACCAACGGAGCGATCAGTTCTAAGTAGTGCGTAGTCAGGTAAACATACCTCACCGTCCGTGATATCCGGAGACAACAAGGTTCCAGTAAAAGCAAGTAAGTCGGGACTAGATTTGTCTACAAGCAGAACCAACTCATGCAACTTGTTCCTTAGGCTATGCACATTGCTAAGTGTACCTCAAGAAAGTCGGCACAACCAACACGTGGTCGTGTGCCATCAGAATTGGTTCTGATATGGCGGAAAATAACTTTCAGCTGACCACCTGAGAAGCAACAAGACGGAGGCTTTGCCCACCAGCCGCCCGACTATTTTTTGACGTCTCTGATAACCCGCTTCAACTTGTCTGTCTGCCAGTAGAAGGTCTGGCCGAACATTGACACCACTACCTTTGATTTTGGATGCAAACCGCCGTAATGATTTGCATTCCTCCTGGGTAGAAAGGACCACGCAAAGTATCGGGGTCGCGGATTTGTCGTTACGATAAGGACGTTGTCCAATCTGGTCAGCTTTCTGACAGTTATACCAAGAAAGCCAGGTAGAAGCAGCTTGGTGACGCACAGTTTGAGCCACCTGGTGTCATCCAAAATGCGTTCACTGGGTGAGCAGCCGCAACTTCAGTAACGATAGGTAATATAACGTTACTATCTGTGAAAGAATCGTCAGGATGAAGCGTGTTTTCCCCGTACATGCCTTGGATCGACACGAGTCCTGTGGGATACGCGTCTATCCTGATGTCTCATCTAGCGCGGGTCAATCAAAAAGAAACACCGAAGAAGGGCACAGCAAGCAAGACCGCCTAAACGTAACCTTCATACATGGCATACTAGAACATCCTTCTAACGATGTTCAAGAGACCGGAAAGCACGATTTAGAACAGTGGCGGTTCATTCGTGAAACAATTTCTTTGGATAATATTGTGGCACTATCGCTCACCAGGATACATCTCTCATCAAATTATAGAGGACGCGGCAAAAGAATCCTAAAGCTCGTGGTTCAGTCAGAGCAAAAAGCAACGGATGGTTTGGATCGATGGCAGCGAAATCGGAAACGTCTTCCTTCTGAACTTCGGTTAATGGTCGCAGAGGCTTACTAAAGTTCAAATATTAAAGCACCTAAAACAGCAAACGTACCGAAGATGATACAGGAACTTAACTTGGGTGTCGCTTTAATTGACTCTGCCGTAGTTCTAAACGAAGATTGGGATACACCTTGGCTGAACCAAG